CCGAGTCTTCCCCTCTCAGGACGTCACTTTTGACGAGTCCGTGCCCTTCTACCGCCTCTTCCCCTACCGCACTGCCCCGCTCCCTCCCCCGCCTCTCTTCCTCGCGCCAGGTGCTGCAGTGGTAGACCCCCTTCCCCCTCAGGGTGCTGCTCCCTCAGGTGTCTCTCAGGTAGACCCGGTTGAGCCTGCCGAGGTAGCTGTCGACTCGCGTCCTGCTGGAGGTGCTGAGCCTGAGCGTGCGGAGCCTGAGCGTGCGGAGCCTGAGCGGGCGGAGCCTGGGGGTGCTGAGTCTGGGGGTGCTGATCCTGGGGGTGCTGAGCCTGGGGGTGCTGGGTTTGGGGGTACTGAGCCTGGCGTTGCTGAGTCTAGGGGTACTGCGCCTGGAGTTGCTGAGCCTGGGGGTGCTGAGCCTGGTGGTGTTGCAGTTGACTGTGAGGCGCCTGGAGGACCTCCCTCTTCGCAGCAGCTGCGTGAGTGGTACTCACGGTACTGCAGCCTCCGGCGGGGTGAGTCTCGGGCTCGTGGTACTGCTGGAGTTGGTACTCGTGCTTCCCCACCACGGCGGGAGCCGCCCTCTTCCCCTCAGCTTCGAGAGTGGTACGCTCGGCACATCAGTCTCCGTAGTGGAGCTGCTGGTGCTGGGGTCCCCGGAGTTGACGCTGCTGCGAGTACTGCGGACCCTGGTGCTGAAGGTGCTGCTGCTGCTGGCGGTGCTGCTGGAGGTGCTGCTGCTGCTGGCGGTGCTGCTGGAGGTGCTGCTAGTACTGAGGACCCGGGCGTTGGAGCTGCTGTGGGTGCTACGGACCCTGGTGCTGGAGGTCCAGCTGCTGCTGGCGGTGCTGCTGGAGGTACTGCTGCTGCTGGCGGTGCTGCTGGAGGTGCTGCGGACCCTGGTGCTGGAGGTGCTGCTGCTTCTGGAGGTGCTGCTGCTGCCGCTGGTGTCTCTGCTGGTTCGAGAGCTGCTGCACGGCCACGACCGTACTTCGTTCCGCTCCTTCAGCAGGTTCTTGGTCAGCCTCCTCCTCCTTGTTCTCCTCTCGCCTTAGAGTGTCCGCCGTCTGTCCAGTCACAGCCACAGTTACCGCCTGCCTCCACACTCCCTGTGCCTGCTCCTTACACTGGTCCGACTGACGGTCTTGCTGAGAGACGTGAGCCTGCGTCACGTCCTGTGTCACCTGCGTCTCGTCGAGCGTCGCCTGTTCGAGCTGCTACCACTGGTAGTCGTGTCCCGCGTGAGCGTCCTCCTGCTGTCCCAGGCACGCACTGGATGGCGCTTCATCAGTCCACTGCTCCGCAGCGTGTTGCTCTCCCGTCGCCTCCTGCGTCCTCTCTTCCTGCTCTTGCTGACCCGGAGTCAGACTCCCTTCGCGCTGCCAGTCCTACTGTCACACGTCTCCTGGCTACGGTTGTCACTGACCCTTCCTTTGAGTCCGCTGCTGCGTCTGCCCTAGTCACTGAGCTTGTCGACTTTGCAGCTGCGTGTCGTCTAGACTACGCAGCGAGTCTTGTTGCTGAGTCTGAGTCTGCCTGTCCTCCGTCCGTCGGGGGTGAGTGTGCTCTTGGCACGGACGTCCTTGAGGACAGGCAGGAGGAGTTTGGTTGCCTTGCCGCTGCTTTGCCCCATCTCGTGTCCATGCTTGTTGCCCCTGAGGGAGACCCGGATGCACCAGACATCCCGACCCCACGCTCTTACGCAGAGGCGATGGCCGGTCCCTACTCCTCTCAGTGGTAGTCAGCCATGGACACAGAGATGGCTTCCTGGAAGTCCACAGGCACCTACGTCGACGACGTTCCCCCACCTGGGGCGAACATCGTCAGTGGCATGTGGATTTTCAGGGTGAAGCGGCCGCCAGGCTCTCCGCCTGTCTTCAAGGCGCGTTACGTTGCACGAGGCTTCAGTCAGCGAGAGGGAGTTGACTTCTTCCAGACCTTCTCCCCGACCCCGAAGATGACCACTCTTCGGGTTCTGCTACACGTCGCCGCTCAGCGTGACTACGAGCTCCAGTCTCTTGACTTCAGCACAGCTTTCTTGCAGGGCAGCCTGCACGAGGAGATCTGGCTGCGCCGCCCACCTGGCTTCACTGGGTCTTTCCCTCCTGGCACCCAGTGGAGCCTCCGGCGGCCAGTCTACGGTCTCCGCCAGGCGCCGCGTGAGTGGCACGACACACTGAGGACTACACTTGCGGCTCTTGGGTTTGCTCCTTCTACTGCTGACCCGTCGCTGTTTCTGCGCACCGACACCTCGCTGCCGCCGTTCTACATCCTCGTGTACGTCGACGACTTGGTCTTTGCCACTGCGGACACTGCCGCACTCGCCCACGTGAAGTCCGAGCTGCAGAAGAGACACACGTGCACAGACGTGGGTGAACTGACAAGCTATCTTGGCTTGCGGATCACCCGGGACAGAGCACGCCGCACCATTACCCTGACTCAGTCACACATGGTGCAGCAGGTCCTTCAGCGCTTCGGCTTCACGTACTCCTCGCCTCAGTCCACTCCTCTGCCTACGGGTCACTCGCTCTCAGCTCTGCCTTCGGATGAGTCCGTAGAGTCGAGTGGTCCGTATCCAGAGCTTGTGGGCTGCCTCATGTACCTGATGACCTGCACTCGACCTGACCTAGCATACCCTCTCAGCATCTTAGCACGCTATGTTGCTCCCGGCCGTCACCGGAAGGAGCACATGGATGCAGCTAAGAGGGTGTTGCACTACTTGTGCAGTACGTCGGGCATGGGGCTAGTGCTTGGAGGGCGAGACCGGCCTGTTCTCACTGGGCACTCAGACGCTTCTTGGGCAGACGACCAGGCTACTCAGCGGTCGTCTCAGGGTTACACCTTCAGTCTTGGCTCTGGCTCTGTCTCTTGGCGTTCTACTCGTTCTTCTTCTGTTCTCAGCTCCAGCTGTGAGGCTGAGATCTACGCCACGGCCATGGCTGCCCAGGAGAGCAGCCACCTACCTGCTGACTGACCTTGGAGAGCAGCCTCGTTCTCCTCCAGTGCTGTACGTCGACAACAAGGCAACCATTGCCTTGTGCCAGGAGCACAGACTGGAGCACAGGACGAAGCACATTGCTATGCGTTACTTTCTAGCTCGAGAGCTACAGCAGCGTGGTCAGCTTCTTCTGCGTTACGTGGCCACTGAGGCCAACACTGCTGATGTGTTCACCAAGTCGCTTCCGCCTGTTGACCATCAGCGTTTTTGCACTCTTCTAGGCCTTGTGCCGACTGTTTCTCACTTACTTCTTGACTTTACCTGTACTGTGATCATTATATATATACCTGCATGTTTGCCTTGTTAGGTTGTGATCATTGTACCTCTTGCTCTATTATAAAACTGCATGTGAACTGGTCTTGTGACCGCTTGCTTGTGCTCGGAATTTGTGTGGAATCCTCGAGATCCACCCTGAGCTTCTTTGCCTTGTTTTGCCTTGACTGGTCTTGTGACCCCTAGGTCTCCCCCACTTTGCCTATGGGGGTGTGTCAAACATTTATATGTTTGTGTGGTTCTAGGCTGTAGTGGGTCACACCATAAGGGGTACACCAGATTAGGGTTTGACATATTTGTACTGTTGTTCTTGCTAGTCACTCCTCATTCTCGTTTCTCATTCTGACAGTTTCCTTGCTGCACGGGCCCGCCATGGACCGGTGACGAGTTATCGTAACGTCGTCGAGCGCCTATGAGCCACTGTCGTAAGGGGAAAGGCCCTCGAGCCAGCCGTAACCTGAAGTTCATTCTGCGAAGTCGCCCAATACAGCACGTGGGATGCATGGTGCGCAAGGCTTCGGGCACGCTTTGAGCCGATTGCGGCTTCGATCTCAGCATGCAAGTGTCAAACTTATATGCTATAGTCTGTGTAGGCTGTAGTGGGGTAGATAATATGGGGTACAACACTTTCAGGTTTGCCTACTTCTACCCACCTGCTTCCTAGTGCATTTCATTCCTCGTACTTTTCTCACATGGTATAGAGCGGGTTCCCTAGTGGGACCGTTTTTTTTAAGGGCCCACCACTTGAACATTTTTTCTGCCCTGCCCGAAGCGCGCCTCTGGCTCTACCCTACTACCGCCCTTAGATGCCAGCCCTGCCGTCGTGGCCCTTAGCGGCCCGCCCTTCCATCGCGGCCCTTGGCGGCCCGCCCTGCCGTCGCGGCCCTTAGCGGCCCGCCCTGTCGCCCTTAGCGGCCCGCCCTGCCGCCCTTACCGGCCCGTCGCCGCCCTACCGCGAACCACCCTGCCGCCCTTAAGCGGCCCGCCCTGCCGCCCTTGGCGGCCCGTCGCCGCCCTTAGCGGCCCGCCCGCCCTTTCGTCGCGGCCCTGCGCGGCCCGCCCGCCCGTCGTCGCGGCCGTGCACGGCCCGCTCGCCTCGTCGTCGCGGCCCCTTCCACTACGGCAGCCGCCGAGGCCCCGTGGCCTACAGCAGCCGTCGCCCCTGCTGCCACCGTAGCGGCTCTGCTGCCGCCGGTGCGACCGTCGCTGTCGTCACATCTGCGGCCCTGCTCTGCCGCCCTGACGCAGCCCTGACCTGCCGCCGAGTCGCGGCCCTGCCCTGCCGCCTTCTCGCGGCCCCTACCCTTCCGGCGCGCCACGGCCTTGCCCCACCACTTGCGGCCTCTTCCCTCCCCTCCCGCCACTGGTAAGCGCACCGCTAAATCCACGCCGCCCTGTCGAGCCTCACCGCCCTGCCGAGTCGCGCCACCCTACCGAGTCACGCAGCACTGCCGAGTCGCGCTACTACTGCTGGTACTGCTGCTAGGCTACTACTGCTGCTCCTGCTGTCATGGCTAGCCCTAATGTTCTTACCTTCGATGCTGAGGGTCGAGCGGTTGACTTCGAGGTCTAGATCGATGATCTACAGCTGTTTCTGTAGTGCGATTCTAGGGACGGAGTCTCACTGTTCGATCACACGTCCGGCGTCTCTGTCGCACCTGTTGCCGATGCAAACAGTGCTGTTCGCTCGCAGTAGACCACGCGCGATGCTGCTGCCCATCTTGCTGTTCATAGTCACATGCCGTCTGCTGAGCACGCGCACTTTAACCAGTACAAGACCGCTAGGACTCTGTACGACTCTGTTGTTGCGCGCTACTCCTCCCCTGCCACTGCTGCCCTTAGCCGCCTCATGCTGCCGTACGTGTTCCCTGACCTAGCTGCTTTTGCCACACTCGCTGACCTCATTACGCACCTCCGCACTAGTGACACCCGCTACCGCGCTGCGCTTCCTCCCGAGTTCTGCGCCGCGAACCTCCCACCTATGTACATCATTCTCTACTACCTCGTCACCCAGCTCCCTGACTCCCTTCGCTCGGTCAGGGACCACTTCCCCTCCCTTTACCCCACCACGCTCACCGTTGACCTCCTCAAGGAGCGCCTCCTTGCGGTAGAGAAAAGTATAGTCGCTGTAGGAGCCTCTCGTGGTGACCCTCGTGCCCCTTTCTTAGAGGGGTGCTCCCCCCTTCCCCTTTTGCCTTCTGTTGCCTCTCCGGCTGTTGTCGACCTCATTGGCACCGAGCCGGTCGGCGCTGCGTCTGCTTCTAGCGGGAGGCGCCGCAGCGGCAGGAGCAAGGGGGGCAAGGGTGTTGGAGGAGATAGTGGGGGTGGCGGTGGTGGCGGTGGAGGCGGCGGAGGGGGTGGGGGTGGAGGTGGGGGTGGTGGCGGGAGTGGGGGCTTTGGTGGCGGCGGTGGAGGTGGGGGCAGCAGCGGCAACGGCAGTGGGGGTGGCGGAGGCGGCAGCGGCAGTGGGGGTGGTGGTGGCGGTGGTGCTGGTCGAGGTGGCGTTGTGCAGCGGGGAGGCCTTGGTGGTGGCCAGCGCCAGCAGCAGCAGCGTTCTCGTGAGACCCTGTCCCCGCAGCAGCTTCGTGAGTGGTACGCTTGGCGTGGGAGGTCTGGGGGTGCTGGTCCTTGTGCTTACGTTCTCCGCACAGGCCAGCGCAGTGGGGAGACATGCGGGGGGCCGCACGCCACGCACCGCTGTTTTGGCCGCCTGACTAACGCCTGGCGTGCACAGTTTCCTGACGCCACGGAGCTCCCTCGCTCGCTGGGGTGATCTGCTTAAGTCTGGGGATCTCGAGCTTTCGTCCGCGACTTGTCTGCGGACAAGCTGTCCTCCCGTGCTGTTCCCTGCATCTTCCTTGACTTCCTTCTTGACGCGCCTAGTTGGCAGTTTTACCACCCCACCTCGGGCTGTGTTCTGTCCTCTCAAGACGTCACGTTTGACGAGTCGGTTCGTTACTACCGTCTTTTCCCCTACCGCACTGCCCCCCTTCCCCCCCCCGCTGCTCTTCCTCTCGCCAGGTCCTCCCCCGTAGACCCCCTCCCCCCTCAGGGTCCTGCCCACTCAGGTGTGTCCGAGGTAGATGCAGTCGAGCCTATCAAGGTAGCTGTTGACTCTGGTACAGCTAGGGGTGCTGAGCCTGCAGGTGCTGGGTCTGGGGGTGCTGAGCCTGAGCGTGCGGAGCCTGGGGGTGCTGAGTCTAGGGGTGTTGATGTCAGATTTATATGACATAGCTTCTGTAGGCTATAGTGGGGTAGCACATATGGGGTACAGGGTTTCTAGGGTTGTATTTGTACCCAATCTTCCATAGTCATTTCATTCCTGTTTTCCTTGTTTCACATGGTATAGAGCGGGTCCTACCTTAGGACCGTTTTTTTTTAGGGCCCACCGAAGCGCGCCCCGAGGCGCGCCTTTTTTTTAGCGACCCCTCGGGTCGCCTTTTCCCTCGCGGCCCCGCTGTCCCTCAGACGCGGCCCCGCCACCTCTCCTGATCGCGGCCCCGCCGCCTGTTTGACGCGGCCCCGCCGCCTCCCCTGACGCGGCCCCGCCGCCTCCCCTGACGCGGCTCCGCCGCCTCCCCTGACGCGGCCCCGCCGCCTGTTTGACGCGGCCCCGCCGCCTTCCCTGACGCGGCCCCGCCGCCTCCCCTGACGCGGCTCCGCCGCCTCCCCTGACGCGGCACCGCCGCCTCCCCTGACGCGGCTCCGCCGCCTCCCCTGACGCGGCCCTGCCGCCTCCCCTGACTCGGCTCTGCCGCCTCCCCTGCCGGCCCGCCGCTGCACCTGCCGGCCCGCCGCTGCACCCAGCAGCCCGCCGCCTCTGACGGCCTCGCCGCTGCACCTGCCGGCCCGCCGCCTCTGACGGCCCGCCACTGCACCTGCCGGCCCGCCGCTGCACCTGCCGGCCCGCCACTGCACTTGCCGGCCCGCCACTGCACCGGTCAACCCGCCGCTGCACCTGACGGCCCCGCCCCTGGATCTCCTGGCCGAGCCGCCCCAGCAGCCGAACCGCCCGTGAGCCGAGCCGCCCGACGACGAGCCGCCCGGGCCCCGAGCCGCCCTGCCGCCGAGCCGCCCGGGAGCCGAGCCGCCCTGCACCCGAGCCGCCCAGCCGCCGAGCCGCCCGGGAGCTGAGCCGCCCGGGAGCCGAGCCGCCCTGCGCCCGAGCCGCCCAGCAGCCGAGCCGCCCTGCACCCGAGCCGCCAGGTCGCTGAGCCGCCTTTCTGCATACCTACTCGACCTGCCCTGCCTGGTGAGCACAGTCCCACTGACACTGCGAGCTCTTTCCCTGCTGCTTGCACTGCGTCGCTGTCGTCGCCATGGCTACCCCTAGTGTCCTAGCTTTTGACGCTGAGGGTCGCGCCATTGATTTTGAGGTCTGGTTAGACGACCTGCAGCTGTTCTTACAGTGCGACAGGGCTGACGACCTTTCTCTCTTTGATCTCACCTCTGGCGCCTCTCCTGCTCCTGCTGCTGATGCTGATCCCGCTGTCCGCTCTAAGTGGGCCACCCGCGATGCTGCTGCACGTCTTGCTGTGCGTCGCCACCTCCCTACCTCTGAGCGTGCGCACTTTAGTCAGTACAAGAGTGCTCAGACCTTGTACGACGCTGTAGTTGCGTGCTACTCCTCCCCTGCCACTGCTGCACTGAGCCGTCTCATGCTTCCCTACCTCTTTCCTGACCTCTCTGCCTTTCCCACTGTCGCTGACCTCATTACGCACCTCCGCACTAGTGACACTCGCTACCGCGCCGCCCTTCCTGCTGAGTTCTGCGCTAAGAACCCCCCCCCCATGTACATCGCTCTCTACTACGTAGTCGCGCGCCTCCCTGACTCCCTTCGCGTCGTCAGGGACCACTTTCTCGCAGTCTGTCCCACCACCCTCACCGTCGACCTCCTCGAGAAGGCCCTCCTTGCAGCGGAGAAGAGCATAGTCGCTGTAGGTGCTTCTCGTGGTGACCCTCGCACCCCCATCTTTGAGGGGTGCTCTCCTTCCCCCTTGCTGCCCTCTGTTGCCTCTGCTGCTGCTGCCGACCTGCTTGGTCTTGAGTCGGTCGGCGCGGCGTCTGCCCCTAGTGGGAGACGTCGCTCCAGCAAGGGCAAGGGGGGCAAGGGCGCGGGTGGAGCTGGAGGGGGCGGTGGCGGTGGCGGCGGTGGCGGCGGAGGGAGTGGGGGTGGCGGCGGGACTAGTGGCGGGGGTGGTGGTGGTGGTGGTGGTGGTGGCAGCAGCGGCGGAGACGGTGGTGGTGGTGCCAGCGGTGGTGGTGGAGGCAGCGGCGGAGGTGGAGGCGGCGGAGGTGGAGGCGGTGGAGGCGGCAGCGGAGGAGGCAGTGGTGGTGGAGGAGGTGGAGCTGGTCGGGGTGGTACCCAGCAGCGTAGCGGCGGTGGTGGTGGCCAGCGCTCGCACCGGCAGCAGCAGCAGCGCTCGCGGGACATCCCTTCGCCTCAGCAGCTTCGTGAGTGGTACGCTGGGCGTCAGAGGGGTGGGGGTACTGGTCCCTGCACCTACGTTCTTCGTTCCGGCGACCGCGCGGGTGAGCAGTGTGGGGGTGCCCACGCCACCCAGCGCTGCTTTGGCCGCCTGACGGACGCCTGGCGTCAGCAGTTCCCTGGGGCTAGTGAGATCCCTCGCTGGGATGAGCTTCTCAGGGCTGGTGTAGCGATCTTTGATCTTGATTTTGATGCTATCCTTACTGCTATGTATGTTGTGGATTATAGTGAGGAGAATGAGGGTTACCGTTGTTTCCAGCCCGACCCGGGCATTGGTACTGCTGCGCTAGGTGCTTGTGAGGCTGCTGCTCTAGGTGCCAGTGCGTCTGCGCTCTCAGGTACTGGTGAGACTGCGCTCTCAGGTACTGCGTCGTCCTCGTCCTCCCTCACTTTCACACTTGACTCCGGAGCTTCTCGCTCCTTCTTTCGAGACCGCACTACCCTTACGCCGCTCGGCCGGCCGGTTGCAGTCTCCCTTGCTGACCCCTCTGGAGGTCCTGTCCTGTCTCACTTCTCCACTGTCCTCCCGTGTCCGGCTGCCCCTTCGGGCACCCTGTCGGGTCTGTACCTTCCCTCGTTCTCTACGAACTTGGTGAGTGGAGCGGACCTGCAGGATGGGGGTGTTCACCAGTTCACTCCTGCGAGTCAGCGGGTGACCCACTGCACGGAGGCACGCACAGGCCGACACCTGGCCACGTTCTCGCGTCGGCCGGGGTCGAGTCTCTACACCCTGACCGTTGAGTCTCCTCCTGTCCCTGCGTCTGGTCAGGTGGCTGCGTCGGGTCAGGTACTTGCTGCTGCGTCCCGGTCAGGTCCTGAGTCTGCCCCCTGTTCTTGTCGCCTCCTGTCTCACGAGACTCTCCTGTGGCACCACCGTCTTGGCCACCCCTCCTTGCCCCGTCTTCGGAGCATGGCTTCCCGTGTCCTTGTCTCTGGTCTTCCCCAGTCTCTCCCTCCTCTCCCCTCCGGGCCAGGACCTTCCTGTGTCCCCTGTGTCGAGGGTCACCTCCGGGCTACTCCTCACTCCTCCCACTTCCCCCCGACAGAGGCTCCCCTGCAGACGCTTCACATGGATGTGTGGGGCCCAGCCCCCGTCCGTGGGCAGGGTTACGAGCGCTACTTCCTGTTGGTGGTTGACGACTACTCGCGTTACACCACAGTCCTCCCCTTGCGCAGCAAGGGTGAGGTCACTGAGGTGCTGATCGACTGGATCCGCGAGGCTCGTCTCCAGCTCAGGAAGAGCTTCGGCTCGGACTTTCCTGTTCTGCGTCTGCACTCTGACAGAGGCGGAGAGTTCTCTTCTCGCCTTCTGCGAGACTACTGTCGCGCACGGGGGATCCGCCAGACCTTCACGCTTCCGGACTCACCACAGCAAAATGGGATTGCTGAGCGCCGCGTTGGCATGGTCATGGATGTCGCTCGTACGTCCATGATGCATGCGGCTACCCCCCATTTTCTGTGGCCGTTTGCGGTGAGGTACGCGGCGCATCAGCTCAACCTTCACCCCCGGGTCTCTCGGCCTGCGATGTCCCCAGCCTTGCTGTGGACGGGGAAGGTTGGCGATGCGTCTGTGTTCCGTGTCTGGGGATCTCGGGCGTTTGTCCGCGACTTGTCTGCGGACAAGCTGTCCCCTCGTGCTGCTCCCTGTGTCTTCCTTGGCTTCCCCACTGACGCCCCAGGGTGGCAGTTTTACCACCCCTCCTCTCGTCGTGTTCTGTCCTCCCAGGACGTCACGTTCGACGAGTCAGTCCCCTTCTACCGTCTCTTCCCCTACCGCACTCCTTCCCTCCCTCCTCCCCCGGACTTCCTTGTACAGGTTCCCCCCCCGGTAGACCCCCTCCCCCCTCAGGTTCCTGCCCCCTCAGGTGTGTCCCAGGTAGACGCCGTTGACCCGGTCGAGGTTACTGGTGACTCTGGTGCTGCTGCGGGTGCTGAGCCTGGGGGTGCTACTACTGGGGGTGCTGGGCCTGAGGGTGCTACTGCGGTGGGTGCGGAGCCTGGGGGTGCTGAGCCGGGGGGTGCTGTGCCTGGAGGTGCTGGGTCTGGGGGTGCTGGGTCGGGAGCTGCTGAGCCTGGGGGTGCTGAGCTGGGAGCTGCTGAGCCTGGGGGTGCTGCGTCTGGAGCTGCTGAGCCTGGGGTTTCTCCTGCTGCTGCGTCTCGCCGGGAGCCCCTCTCTCCACAGGAGCTGCGCGAGTGGTTCGCTCGCCGCTGGAGGCGTGCTGCTGAGTCTGGAGGTACTGCTGGAGCTGGAGCTGGAGCTTCCTCGACTGTCGAGGGTGCGGGTA